CTTCAAAATGCCTACTAAGCAAATAGTTGCTCATCCTATGTATCCATGTGTTATTTTAGAAAAGGATAAAGTAAGGTCGAGAATATTAGAAGTTTTTAAAGTCAAAATTTGACTAGAGATACATGCATTTTTAGGTATTCCTCAACTAGCTATGTTCATGTTTTGATAAATTGATGATACACTGGATTATTTTATACAATTTATTTAGGTGTGGAAATGCTTAGGAGATGAAGGAATTTATTGGCTTACTAAACTTTTTAATACAATTTTGAAGGCTAGAAAGATGTCAGATGAGTGAAGAATGAGTGTGTTGATTCTTGTTTTTAAGAATAAAGTTGATGTACAAGATTGTGCAAATTATAGAGGAATTAAGTTAATGTTTCATACTTTAAAATTATGGGAGTGGGTTATGGAATGTAGGTTGCGGTGTGATTCTAATGTTTCTCAAAATCAAATTGGATTCATGCCGGTTGGTCTCCTATAGAATCCATAAATTTATTGAGAGGTTTGATGGTGAAATATAGAGAGAATAAGGAGGATATGTATATGATATTTATTGATTTAAAGAAAGCATGTGATAAAATTCCAAGAGAAGTGCTATGGAGAGTTCTTGAAAAGAAAGTAGTTAATAATGCTTATATTCAAATCATTAAAGATATGTATGTAGGAGTTATTACTTGTGTTTAAACACATGGTGGTCTGACCAAGTATTTTCCTATTTCGGTTAGATAACATCAAGGATCAGCCTTAAGCTCATATCTTTTTGCTTTAGTCATGGATGTTCTCACTAGACATTTGCAAGAGGATGTACCTTGGTATAAGCTTTATGCTGATGATATTCTTATTGTTGATAAGACTAGAGAGGGAGTTAAAGGTAAACTTAAGGTATGGAGGTCAACCTTAGAGTCTAAAGGCTTTCGGTTGAGTAGATCTAAAATTGAATGTATTGAGTGTAATTTTAGTAGTAATAGACCTAGTGGGGGGATTATGACTTTGGATGATCAAGTCATTAATAAGAGTACACATTTTAGGTATCTTGGATCTATTATTCAGAGTGATGGTGAAATAGATGAGAATATTATCAGTAGAATTCATGTTGAATGGTTGAAGTGAAGGAATGCATCGGGCTTGTTGTGTGATAGAAACAACCTCCTCAAACTTAAGGAAAACTACTATAAGATGGTGGTGAGACCTGCAATGCTCTATGGTGCAGAATGTTGACCATTAAAAGAGAAGCATAATACTAAGTTAAGTGTTGCAGAGATGAGGATGCTCAGGTGGATGATTGGCTTTACCACTAGAGACAGGATATGAAATGAGCATATACGTGAAAAGGTTAGAGTACCTCCAGTGGAAAATAAGAATAGAGAGAGTCAGCTTAGATTATTTGGTCACATAAAATGATGGCCTTCCAATGACCCGATTAGGAAAGTTGAGGTATTATATTTGACTTATATTAAGAAAGGTAGAGGTAAACCTAAAAATACTTGATTAAAAAATATTAGAAATGATCTTTCTTCATTAGATTTAAATGAAAATTTGACTTTTAATAGGACACAATGGAGAAAAAGGATTAATATAGTAGACCCCACATAGTGGGACAAAGGCTTGATGTTGTTGGTGTATGAAATAAAATGTGAATGAATGTTTATATTTCCTCTTGAATTTTGGATATTTAGCTAGCTCTCACATGTTAAAATTGAAGATGAGGTAATTAGAATTAATTTTTCATTAGATTCTGAGGCAGAACAACTTCACCCATCAAGTTGTTGACTTCACCTCCTAATTATTCACTATCAGTTGTCCACATGTACTCTTTTGTAGTTTAGTTTATAACCTTATGTATCCTAATGTATTTTTTATATAGCTTAAAAATGACTTTTCTTGTAGCACCAAAGGTTAGAGGAAAATTAATGTGATATATTCATTGAATGTTGTTTACTTATATTATCTTATTGTGAAAACAATAATTAAGTAATAATGTGATGCTTGCATTATGATTTATGACATTTCTCTTCATATTAAGTTTTATGCTGACATATTACACTTTTTTTTTTTGTCAATCTATAACCACATATTAAACTTGATTGAGCATAATGTTTGAATTTATAGTACATTCTATTTTGTATTTTATTTGTGAGTATTATTTTAGAACATTCTTTAGTTATAACATGATTTACTATTTACCTTGTGGTTATAGATTGATATACATAATGCTCTTCCTTCTATTTATTAGAAATTATTGTAGATTTTATGTAACCTACCAAGATGTTAATGCTCATTGCTATTTTATCTACATCTGTCAATTTCATGGAAGGGAAAAGAGGAGCAACTTGATTAGCAACAAAGGTTGCAGGTTCCTGATTATACTTATGACTTTTACTGGATTATACCTATATTTTTACAGTCATGGTGATATTATATTGTAATGGATAGAGATATGTTTACCATTATATTGTATAGAGACCATTTTGATTGAATAAATTTGTGATATAATCTGAAAAGATGTTATGAATGCTTTAATGTATCCTCGATGATATATTAGTGTCTTAATGCTATTATAAATAATAATAATAATAATAAAAGAAAATTTCATTTTTTGCTTGATATTGGGTTATATCTATTGTGCATTCGACAATATATGAATTGCTTTACTATAAGGGCAATGTAAATACCGTATATGATAGATAAAATGCAAAGGGTATGTGTTTTTAACATTTTATAGATCATGTGTTCAAAATATATTCCAATCTTATTCAAACAAATATTAAACATTATTCAAATATATTTAAATCTTATTCAAACCGTGAAAATCAAACATGGTTCAAACATAGTTTGAATGTTTTGAATCATATTCGAACATATGTTGTAACAACAATGAAGTTTGATGTTGACCAATTATTTTGAAAGATGAACCAGACATCAATATTCTTGTATTGCATAAAGGAGAATGAAAACGAAATAGTCAAGTCAGTTGGACATTTACTGAGAAACTAAACAAAAGATTAATTGTATAAAGAAGTATTTTCCTTAAAAATCTCATAAATCATAAATATAAAATGACAACAATTGATAAGATCCAACTTATTTTTAATTGGAGGAATTCCATAATTTAATTTCTCCAACTGAGCTGCTAATATATTATGATCTTGTGTTTTTCTTATCGAGATACCATTATACATTCAATTATAATCTCCCATATGTGTGACAATCGCTATCAAGAAAATATCATTTATGAATTTTAGTGCAAATGAGAATGATGCAAGATTAGTTAGTTCACTATCTTTAATCGGTGAATGTAATTATATGGATATAACACATGTAGAAATAGAAGTAGGTGATGATGTGAACATACAACAACCTATAGAAGTAAGTGATACTTATGGATATACATGCTAGTGATGATAATGGCTACATCGATGATTTAATACTAAAGTATCCACTGGGGATTATGATACTAGTTTCTCATATACTTGAAATTGTAAACAAGTGATGTTTTCTTATTCTTCATGTATTTAAGGGCTTAAAGAAACAATTCAATATATGGAGAAAATATGGATAACTTCTATCCTATAATGGTTAATATTTAAAAGTATCTCTAATTTAATAATTGTTATATAATACAATCATATTCGAGTTTACTTTTGCAAGAGGATCCCTTAAAGCATTAATTGAAAAGTTACCATATTATATGGTTATGCTACATAAGAAAATACAAGTATTATTATGTTGAAGTTCAAAATTAATAATTATCATGAGGAATATCACTTGGATTCTAAGTTATATAAAAGATTTGAGTTTAGAGGCACCTCAACAAAATAAATGTCAAGAACTCTTCCATAGCATCTTATCAAGAGAATGAAAATGGCTTTGAGTAGTGGGATCATGCTTTTTGCTCATAGAAATCGATACAACTTGATGCCACTTAGTATTTTAGATAGCTTCAATAATATTATCAAGAGAGTACACATTCATATCCAGTGACAATTTAAATGAAAATTTTGAGTCACGTAATATAAAAAAGGTTCTTCAATATATGCACCATTGCAGAGAATATGAAAACTATTTTGACAAATAAAATTTAAAAAAAAAAGTATTGGGAGAGCTCTTAAATAAAGCTAAAGATTTATTGTCTATCATTTTATTCAATTTGAGCCACATGTTGTTGATAGTGGCCTTAATGGATATGTTGATTTATAAGAGATGATATGTACATATAAAAGTTTGATGTTATGGGTCTCTAGTATGAAGACGTGTTGGTTGTGGCTTGAGATTGATGTGTTAGTTATTATAACTTGCATTCAAACTTTTATACGCATGAAGCTTATCAACCTGCTTACGTTGAAAATATATATCAAATTATAAATGAGGACATATAGGAGCTTCATGGTGAATTAAATAGAGTTATTGACAACCCTCAATAATGAAGTTGACAACCAGTCATCCAAAGAAAAATATAAGACATTCAAAAGGGGAGAAAGATGTGACACACCTGATGTGGTGTTACAAGCCATATATATTGTGATAGTTCTTTGTTGTATTATAATTATAGGATTACAGTATATTATATCTACCTTATAAAATGTTATAGCATAGTTGTCATGGTTGCAGTCTATTCTATTATCATTGTTAAAGTTTTTTTAACATACTATGTTATAACTATCATAGGCAAATCTTATTTGAATCATGTTCAAATTTTACTTGAATACTATTTTAAAAAGTTGGGTTCGTATTCGAACTATGCTCGAGCATGATTCTAACTTTTGATTTTACTTGAATATGATTATGATCTTATTAAAGTTTTATTTTAATAAATGTCTATGATGATGATTTTTAAATAAATAATAATAATAAAAATGAGAATATTTTACTTCCAAATAAAATTTTAAACATATTTCTAAATAAAAAAAAAAACAAACACTCCAATTTCTTCTTTTAGGAGGCAAATAAAACTAAATTTTCTTTAACCTTAAATAAAAGAAGTTGAGATATTTTAATTATTGCCCATACAAATCTCCGACGCGGAGGTGCTCCTGGTCCACAGCAAAGAAGCGACTTCTCACACCCTCCACTGTTCGCAGAAGAAATTGATCAGGGACAAAGTTAAAAGTGGCTTCGTTGATCCTCTACAACCAATCCATCTAGGGTTTCTGCCTTGAAGCGAAACAACAGCCACATATCGCTATTAAACAATCGAGGAATGGGCGGGGGTAAGGATAAATCAGGGGGCCTTGGTCGCGCTCTCGTCCGGAAGCACAACCAGATGGTGCAGCAATCCAAGGAAAAGGGTCACAACCTCCGTCTTCAGCAGCGCAAGTTCCTCGAGTCCGTCACCGACATCAGTGATATCGACGCCGTCGTAGAGCAGGCTGAGGAGGCCGCGCTCCTTTACTCCGCCGAGAACCCTGCTCCAACTCTCCGCATCGATATGTATGTGGGATTATCTCTGTCTCTTTTTGGTTTGCGTGATCAAAATCGTTACTTTGTGCTTGTTAGGGTTTTGGTGATAATTGATGCTTAAAGGTGTTACCTTGTGGCTTTGGGGCAGAGATGGGAGTAGTGTGATAACGGAGGAGACGAGGCGACTGCAGAAAGAGGAAGAGGCATTGCATGCCAGTAGTCTCCGAGTGCCTCGAAGGTTTTAATTCTGTTTTTAATATTTTTTTAGCATATCCTTGTATATTTTTGATTGATTTGTTATGGAGGGACTACTGATGTTGAGGACTCCTTACATTGTCTGCAGGCCACCTTGGAATTCTAGGATGTCTGCGGAGGAGCTTGATGTTAATGAAAGGCAGGCATTTTTAGTGTGGCGGCGGAGTTTGGCAAGGTTAGGGTTACTGAGCCACACAAATTTAAAAGTCTGTAAATTTTTTATCCTATGATGGAAGGCAACCAATGAACATGTTTAGGATTGGTGCTCTTAGGACATTTCACTCCTTTGGTTTGCTAGCTTTCTTTGGTTTTTGGGCATTTGTTGTTGGGCTTAAATTCTCCTTTTGGGCTTGGCCCATTTTCCCTTGGTTGCTTGGTGTTTTAGTTATCTCGGCTGATTGTTTCTGCTGGTTGCTTTGGTTTTTGTTTGAGGGGCTAGCTATTGGGTTTTCTGGCTGTTCAGATCCTGGGCTGGCTGGTGGCTTTTGGTTTTCTGGCTGTTTGGTTCCTGGGTTGTCCGTGCCTCTCTCTTGGGTATTTCCCATGTTCTAGCTGCTCCCATTGGAGGCTTTGGCGGCACCTTTTTGCGGGCTGTTGGATTCCTTTTCCCTATTTATAGGGGGCTGTTTGTTGTTGCAGGGAGGTTTTAATTATCTGAAATTATTACTAAACCTGAGGGTTTTCTCTTCCTAGCATGAGAGCTATTTCTTTCCTACCTATTTCTTCTTCTAGTGTTCTATCTATTTCTTCTCTCCACAAGTACCTTTCCATTGTATCTTTCTTCTCTACATAAAGTGTGAGTGGTGGTATTGGTCGGTTTGTTGGTATTTGTCGGAGGAGTGCCGGTGGGTGTTAGATCAAGATTGCCGTGGTGGATCCTTGGTTTGAATGTTCTTTATAGCACTTAATTTTTTCTAATTTTATCGATACATGTGAGGTGACCTTTAAGGTTGTTCTGAGGTTAGTGTTCTTTATAATTTTGTCTTTTCTTTCGAAGTTCTCTTTTATGTTTCTTGCATCTGTTTGTTTCTTTTTCAGTGGTTTATTTACTTTTTTTTGTTGAGTTTTGTTCCGTTTGTCCCTAGTGTTCTCCTTCTTGGCTTTTAGAACTTAGTAGCCATCACTATCACTTCGGTCCCTATTTTGTGTAGCTTTTGAGGAGTTTCTTGTTGTTATTTGGATGGTGCTTTAATTATCTTGCATTAATATTTTTTACCTATTTTCACCCCTATAAATGGGGTTGTTTGCTAGAGTTTTAGAAGAGTACGTGATGATTTTTGGAATGTAAAACCTGCGGGTTTGTTCTAGCTTGCGAGCTAGCCTCCTTTTCCCTTCCCCTCTATTATTTCGTCTCAGTTTTCTACCTCTTCTTCTCTATCCATGGTTCCCACCCCATATGTATCTTTCTTCTCTTAATTAATATAAGTTGTAAGGTATTGTGTTCTAGTATTGTTATATTATATATGTGTTTGTCTATGTTTATGACAAGGAAGACTTTTAGTTTGCAATGTTAATGTAATTTTTTTGGTTGCACCAATTTAGTATCAGAGCTTTAGGTTGTAGGTCATGTCTTCTTTTCTTTCTTAATAATTCAAAAACAAAAAAATGGAAAGCAAAACACTCAACAGCCCAAAGTTCCACCTCAAGATGCAAAGGAGTCTGTAGATTGTGAAAGTCAGCCTTCTATACAGACGATCTCATCAGGAGAGAATTGATGTAATCAAGGTGCTCTGTCCCTTCAGTTTCTGTTCATTGGCTGCTGGTTGTCTCTTCGTGGGCTTTGTTTTCCTCGGTTTTTCCCTTTGGCCATTATCCCTTTTGTTTGGGCTACTGTCCCTTCGGTTTGGGCAGTTGTCCCTTCCGTTTCTGTGCCCATTGGCTATTGTATTGATGCTTCGTTTTTTCCTAGGCTGCTGTCTCTTTGGTCCCTATTTGTTGCAGCTTTTGAGGAGTTTCTAATGGTTGTTTGGATGGTATTTTAATTACCTTGCATTAAATATTTTTTTCTCTTTTTTCCCTATAAATAGGGTTGTTTGCTGCAGTTTTAGAAGAGTATGTGATGATTTTTGGAATGTAAAATCTGCGGGTTTATTCTAGCTTGCGAGCTAGCCTCCTTTCTCCTTCCCCTCTACTATTTCGTCTCAGTTTTATACCTCTTCTTCTCTATCCATGGTTACAACCTCATCTATATCTTTCTTCTCTTAATTAATATAAGTTGTACGGTATTGTGTTCTAGTATTGTTATATTATATATGTGTGTTATTATTATTATTATTATTATTATTATTATATTATATATGTGTTTGTCTATGTTTATGGTAAGGAAGATTTTTTGTTTGTAATGCTAATGTAAATTTTTTTGTTGCACCATATACTATCTAAAACAAGAGTTAACCAAATTTATAACTATAGTTGATGGTGGGCCATCAGTGGAGTTACTGGACTTTGCCTGGCTTGATAGCTGGGAATTGTTGTATGCACTTGATTGCTGTCATCGATGTTTCAGTTACTCTTCATTTCTTATAGGCAAGACTAATTTCTTCGATCTCTTCCTCCACCTTTTCTATTCAGTTCTTGTTTTCCTCTCTTCTACATCCCATCAAACAATCCTTTTCCTTCTCCCATGCAGTTATGGGAATTGTTTCCAGTTTCCTGTTCTACTTATGCCAGCCCTTCTCCTTTTTGCTAGAAAAAAGCTCCTGTACAGTTCTTCTGTCCTTTTAATCTTCCCCATCTATTCATTGTTGCAATACTAGTGAAGTAGATAGAGCATTTGCTCAGTTCTATCTGATTATGTTTTCTTTGAAGAATTATAATTTAGTCAATCTAATACAATTCTGTATATACCTTTTGATCTGTTGCATCTTTAGCCTTTAAGATCTTTAATTATGATTAATGAACAATGCTTTACTTTAGCCTTTGTTGTAATTTTTATTTCAACAAAGTCAACGATACCATCATATATGTACTGTTCTCTGTCCTTTATCATAATTGTTGTTTGTACCAAGGTTAAGCAGCAAGTCGTTTATGCTGTAAGGAAATGTTTTTCTCATCATTTCTTCCAACTTCAATAGGTTTATCACCTAAATATATACAAAGAAATGACAGGAAAAACCATCATGCCTTCAATAAATAGTGTTTGAAGTTTCATTCCTCTTCTTGCAATGGATCCACTAAAGCTTGTGATTGTTTTTGTTATCTACTAAACAAGTACGTGCCAATTTTTTATCCTTTTTTAAGGAGTCCATCAATTTTCAAAACCAACAGTGTGACTTATTTTTATTCATCCTTAAATTAGTTTATGTAGCTAACTAAACATGAATATCTGTACCTTACATTAAAATGTCAAAAAATCCCTCACCTACCAGTTCGATTGGCCTTGTATGATGGAAAATATCATTTTTATCCCTAATCTCAATCTCTTTCTTTCTCCCTGTCTACAATCTGCTCTCACTTTGCCCCACCCACATCACCAACTTTCCACTCCATTCATCTCTCCAACTATTTGACTCTATACTTACCATAATTGTCTTTTCGTGTGCATTACTTTGTGTCATCATTTGTTCTTTTACTACGCACTTGCATTGGAACGCATTGGATGGAATTTGGAAGGAAGAGAGAGAGAGAATGGGAGATGATTGCTATTGTAGGGATGTTTGGAAGGAAGAGAGCAAGAATAGGATGTGATTGCTATTGGATATATCTTGACTAGGCCACCTTCCCTTAATTGTTCATGCACGTTTAAATAGACTTGTCGGTGCATATGAAGATGGAAAGATGCTGAAGCATAGAGAATTGCGGACAAAAGAGAAAATTGTGGTGACGTAAGATTGGTGAGTGACTTAATAATGCCCTCAATTAGACAAATGGTGGAAATAGTGAAACTATGGATGGGGTTAAGAGGAAATTTGCCCCAATTAGATGATAGAAGTAAAGAAAAAAGAAGAGAGATGGGGGATCAAAGAATAAAGGGAGAGACTTGGATGTGAGGAGCTAGGGAGGGTGGGCTCTCAAAGAGGTGGAAGAAGGGAGGGAGTGGTGGAGGGTTAGAAGTGAGAGAGTGATTTGGATGGGGAATAGTTCAACTCTCACCTCTATTCTATTAATGAGAGAGGGACTTAGATGGGAGTTTCTCCTTCTCTCTTCTCTCATCTTTCACCGTAGTATGAGCATACATGAAAATTTACACTAGTAATGAAATACTTAATTGAATTTGTTATTAAGGAGCTAATGGCAACCCATGTGCAATAAGTGGTAATGTTTTGTACGTCAACCCCTCAAAACCCCACATTGGCGGGGGAAACATTTTCCTCCTTAATTTTTATTTTTGACTCCTTGTGCATTTTATCACAAAGGACTCTCCTTAGATGTAAAATGTAAGATAAAGGATGCCAATTCAAAAGTTGGGTATAGTTTTCCTGTTGATTCCTACATTTCATCATTTCATCATATATGTTTTTCCTTATTTACAAGATGAGAAAAATAATGGGTGCCTACTGCATGGGTATGGACACACCTGCCTATGGAAGGTTTGCATATAGTTCAATATATGTAGCTGTACCCTTGCATGACAAAAGGGCCAGGACCATGATTCACACTTGTAATCTTTTGGTCACAATTAATGTAACTTGAGAGCAATGTTATGGATATAGGAACTTTACTTGCTTGTATGTAAGGAATTACATGTCATAATTTAACATTGATAATGCTATATACTTGGCCTTTTTTAGGGATTAAAAATTTTGTACGATCCATAAGTAGTTGAGAGATCCTTGTTTATGGCTTTTGAAGGTGTTAAACATTTAATGTATTTGATACTCTCATACTGATTAGCAGAAGTTTATGCCAATATCACTGTGCTCATACTTCGAGGAGGGATCCATATTTCTTCTTCTAAGAGGATTAATTTTTAAGTTCAGGAGGTGGTTGGTTTAGTGAAAACATGATATAAAGTATTTTCATGTAGAATAACTTTTATTTTGAGAGGACTGAAATGTTGGTTTTTTGTGTGATCAAAATGATCATCTTTGTTGAATTATTATGAATACCTTATACTTCCAATTACTGTGCGAATGACAGGAGTAATCGGTCTTCTGCAAGAAGAGTGATACAATGAAGATAGAATTTATATCTACAACGTATTGATAGCACAAATGTGTGCTTTAGATAGGAGAATGGTTTACTTGTTTTGAAGCAGTATATAGCCTTTCTATGAATCATCAGCTAATGTTAACGTTGGAACCTCTGAATGAGACTGTTCTTTAATTTCGTTAGCATGCAAAAGTTTGCAGATTAATATTTGTGCATATAGATTAATGCTTTGATTTTTTTGTGTCTATTGCTCCATTGCCACATGGAATTTCTTTGCGTTTTTTGTCGAAAGTTTAATTCAGTGTACTTTAATTTTGTTAGCATGCAAAAGGTTGCATTTTAATATTTGTTCATATGGATTAATGCTTCGATTTTTTGTCTATTGCTCCATTGTCACATGGAATTTCTTCACATTTCTCATTCTAAGTTTCTCCGTGTGAGACATTGTGGTGAATGAGAGACTGCTTTAATTTTATTACGATTGCAAATTGTTGTATTTTATATATTCTTATGTGTAGGTGCTTCAATTTTTCTATTATTGCTTGATCATCCAAGGTAATTTGTTTGCATTCTCCTTCACAAGTTTAACTTTGGGATTGTTTGTTTGATTGAAAAAGGGTTGCAATGTAAAAGGAATGCAATGTAAAAGAAATATTATTGGTGTTGTTTGAATGAATGTAAAATAAATGTAGGTGATTTTTTTTTTTATTTGAAGTAAAATGCATATAGTGTGAAGTCCAAAGATGGTGGCGGCGGTGGCAGGTGGCGGTGACAGGTGGTGGCGGTTGGCGATGGGTGGCGGCGGTGGGTGGAGGTAGCAGTGCTCGGCGACATCCGATGGCGATGGCAAGCAATGGTCGGTGGCTGAGGGTTGCGATTGGTAGTGGCGGCGGGCAGCGACAAAAGAACTTGCTTGCGGTGAAAATGATTTTTACCTAGAACTGGACAAGTTTACTTTACCTAAAAAATGAACTAAAATGCTTACTTTGCATTTTTTTTATTTTACTCTGCATTCCTTTTTCATCCAATCAAACATCAATATTTTTTAAAACTCACTTAAAAGGATTATTTTACACCCACTTTAGTTCAAACCAAACAACCCATTAATGTAAGATGATGTCTTTGTGGTGAATGAGGGGCTTCTTTAATTTGCTTAAGGACTGCAGAAGGTTGCAGATTAATATTTGTGCAATATGAATAAATGTTTCAATTTTGTGTATCACTCAATCGTTTCATGGACTTTCTTGGCGTTCTCCACAGGTTTTAACTCCATGATACAATCCCTGTACCTCCTCAGGATGCATTGAATTAAAAAATTTCAGTATATCTTTTGTTTGTACTTGACTTAGTCATTCTGCAGTTTTCTAATGATTTATTTATCTACAGGCTCGAGGAGAATGAGAGGCTTGTGATTACTCCATTTGAGAAGAACATAGATATTTGGCGACAACTTTGGCGAGTGCTCGAACGAAGTGACCTTGTAAGCTTAACTTTGTAAACTTGTGATTCAGAACAATGATAGGATATTCTGATCTGTTGTGCTTCTCACTCTAGCTAACTGGGGGCATTTTTTCATCTTTTTCTTTGATAATCAGATTTGTAGCTTCATTATTTCACTTTATTGCATGTTATTTTTGACACTAAACCAGCTAATGTCTTCACTTCTATCAGCTGTTGGAGGATATGTTTGATTATTTTTTAAAGCATTTTCTAGTTATTGATGAGCTTTAATTGTATTTCAAAATTTGTCTTATTTGATTGAGACTGTATTAAGGATATAGGATATATGGTTTAGAATTCATGATGGAGGGCCTACTTTCTCAAATCCATGCTAGAGCTAGGGAGGAAAGCAATTTCTAGGTGAGAGCCATTAATTAATCGGCTGAAGTATTAATAATTTTACTTAATATCTAAATAATTCCTCTGAAATGGTGTTAATGATTCAATTTTGATGGAAATGTAGGGTATGAAGATGTGTAAACACTAGGTATTTGGTCAAGCCTGAAGCAAATTAGCTGTTTGTATCAGAGTTTTAATTGGACTTTGTGGCTAGGTGATGCAACCTAAGTTCCTAAACTTCTTAGGAGAACACTTAGATGCGCAATTAAGAAACTTTCTTTCAATAACACATAAACAAACACAAATCGAGACTTAGTAAAAAAAATTAGAAACGGTTTAGAAAAATCACGTAGGAAGAAATATATAAAACATATAAACAAAAGCATCTAACCAATAATCCACCACTAAAATTTTGATATGGCACAAATCCGCACTCAAGCAAATACCAACAAAACAAGATAACAACACCACCTCACTACTAACAATGTTTAGAGAAGAAATATACACGTGGAAGAGAAACCATGGAGAGAAGTAGAAAGAAGACCAAGAGGAAGTATTAAGTGATAGGAGAAAGACTATCTCGCAAGCCACGAAGAACCCTCAGGTTGAATTTTTCTTCTCCAAAATTTATCTTCAACAAGAGAATTTCATTTACTTTATATAGGAGTGGCAAGGGGCATTTAATTGTTCAATTAAATGAGCCAACATTTCAGCCAATAAAAATAAGCCAAATCAGCTCTTAAAGAAGAAGCCGAAGCATCAAGCACAGGAATTAGCAAAGGGGAAGAGCTGAACTACCAAAAGGGAGAGGGGAAGAATCCCAAGCAACTAAATAAGCAAGGGGGAGAATTAAACAGCCAAAAAGAAGAGGGGAAGAATCTCAAGCAGCCAAATCAGCAAGGGGAAGAACCGAACAACCAAAAGAAAGAGGGGAGAGGAAGTAAGATCTTGGTTGTTTTTCATCATAGGGTAATAAAAAAATAAAATACATAGCGTCCAATATCATGAAGAAATAAAAATACATAAAATGTAAATTCTTGACTACATCACTGGCATATCTAGAAAACTTCCAATTGGATTTTCAGGATCTCATCTCTTGCAAGGATGTTTAAGAAAAAAATTTCTTTATCCTTATGTGGAATTTCTACAATGGTATTGAATTAATCTTGGACATCTTAATTTGAGTTATTTACTAAACTATATTTTTAGCAATGGTGGCCTTTAATACGTTTCTATTTTGAACATAAACCAAGAAGTTGCAAAGTTGGTATCACATCATTGTCATGTATTGTTTAAAATATATGCATCTTTGTTGTCATATATATATATTTATCTTGTTCTCATTTATATTGTTTAGATATATTAAATGCTATATTTTGATTTCCATCTAATTATAGGGGTCTTTGTATCATAAATGCTGCATAGCTTCTTCTGCTTCTTCTTCATTTGCACTGTAATTAGCAAGTTAGCATTACTGACTGATTCCCTTGATGTTTTATTGGCATTAGCTTGCTCTTTTAGCCAATCTACGAGGAGCTAAGATGCATTTACTAATAAGTTGAACCCATGATTGTAATCTTATTCTTGAAACTTAGAAGTTAGCATATTAGCAATATTAATAAAAAAATTAACGAAATAAGTAGCCTTAGTGGAAAGAACATGGGACTAACATAAACATGACATATTATGATTATGATGAGATGATGTAAACATAGGTTTTAATTTATCAGTATGTATGCATGTTGCCTAACTTTTTGAATTATAAGACGAACTTGTTTGTTTATTAAATTAATTGAGCATCTGGATTATAGGCCAATGTACTATTGATCCTATTTTTGCTTTGCAGCTGGTAATGGTTGTTGATGCTCGAGATCCACTTTTCTATCGCTGTCCTGATCTCGAGGTATGTTGATTACTTATAATTATTCGTTGTGCTGCTCTTTTATCCTTCTATTATGAAAGGTCAAATATTTTTTTTGAAAATACATTGTACTGTTGCCTGATCTGAAGCTGCTTTCAGCCCTCCCAAAAAAAATCAGAAAAGACAAGAACAGATGAAATATGACTGATATGACATAGTTGGGTATCATCCTCCGCTGTAATATAGAGATGTTTTGATAATATGAAATTTCTTACCCAATCTTCCTATTCTTGATAACAATCTTAAGCATGAAATCTAGAATATGATCTACTTCTTGACTGACATTACTTTCTTGAATGGCCTGTCTTTCATTAAGCTGTGAGTGGATTTGAACAACTATTGTGGTTGATTTTTGAGAGAAGTATGCAATAGGTGTCAAGTAGCTTCAAACCTTTACATTATGCAATAGAAATAATTTACTTATATTAAAAAATATAAGCATGAGTAGGGGAGAAGAAGATATATTATGATATGTTTGGGGTTGATGGGAGTAAAGAAAGAAAGATATGTGCAAATCATATCATGTAATGAATCTTATTGATAGATGAAAAAAAAAAAAAAAAACCCTAATATTATTTATATATATAATTTGGCCACAAATTTAGATGCATATTAGAGTATGTGTCCTTAATATGCTTTAGATGCATTCATAAAGTTTCAAAGAGCTGAGAATATTTTGGTACACTAAGAATTTCCATCATGGAATCCTATGTCTAAGTGTTCATTCAGGTGACTGCAAGGTCTTTTTGACCTAATCATGGCCGGGGGCCTTTGATGCAAAGATAGAAATTTAGTGTTTCAGCTGCATGTTGTGTGGTTGTTGGTAGTTTCACAAGCTTGATTATGTTATTTGTTGAATTTCTTGGCTTTGTACCTTGCAAGTTTCCTATCTCGCTGAACTGTAATAAGAGAATTGGCTTTTTCTTCACTCTTTGCAATTTTTGTCTCATTTGTTTTGAGCTGCTTATTTTGATTCACAGGCGTATGCACAGGAGATTGATGAGCACAAGAGAACCTTGCTTTTGGTGAATAAGGCAGATCTTTTACCCCTCGCTGAGAGGTTAAAAAAATGGCCCTCAAATCTATTTCTTCCCTTTACTAGTTTTTTCCACTAAATTTTATTCACTGCAGGAAGAAATGGGCTGAGTATTTCAAGTCTAATGGCATTCTCTATATATTCTGGTCTGCAAAGTCTGCTTCAGCCATTCTTGAAGGAAAAAGTTTAAGCAAAAAGTGGGAAGAAGAACAATCAGCAAAAGAATCTATTTATTCTGATATAGATACTAAGATATATGGCAGAGATGAGCTCCTTACCAGATTGCAAATAGAAGCCAAAGCTATCGTATCTTCCCGGAAAGATTCAACGGAAATGGAAACTCATGGAGCATCCAATTCCTTAGATTCTCCTGCTGAACCAACAACTTCTGAACATGTTGTTGTGGGCTTTGTAGGCTACCCAAATGTTGGTAAGAGCTCCACAATCAATGCAGTGGTGGGTGGAAAACGCACTGGAGTTACTTCTACTCCTGGAAAGACAAAGCACTTTCAGACTTTGATCATTTCAGAAGAGCTTATCCTATGTGATTGCCCTGGTTTAGTTTTCCCTTCTTTTTCCAGCTCTAGATATGAGATGATTGCATCAGGTGTGTTGCCAGTTGATAGAATGACTGAACACAGAGAAGCTGTGCAGGTTGTGGCTAACAATGTCCCTCACCATTTGCTCGAGAAAATCTATAATATCAAATTGCCAAAACCAAAGCCTTATGAGCTGCAATCCAGGCCACCCACAGCTGCTGAACTGTTGAGAGCTTACTGCTTGTCCCGAGGTCATGTCAGCTCGAGCGGGCTTCCCGATGAAACTAGAGCCGCCCGACAGATACTAAAAGATTACATCGACGGGAAAATTCCTCACTTTAAGCTTCCTCCAGAAACAGGAGATGTTGAGGGTGATAATGGCAGATCAGATGATGAATCTGATGAATGCGAGTCCGATGAAGAAGAAGAAGAAGAGTCTTCTTTATCTAGTGCTGCTGGTTTTAGCGAGCAAAACCTTAAACATGTTTTGGATGATCTGGAGTCATTTGAATTGAGTGGTGCAGTAACTTCAAACAAAGCTGCTGCAGCTGGAAGAAATAAGAAGGTCCAGTCTTCAAAAGCTAAGAACCATAAGAAACCACAGAGAAAGAAAGACCGTTCATGGAGGGTGGGAAATGATGGTGGCGATGGAATGCCTATTGTTGGAGTATTCCAGAAGCCTGCTGTGAATTGGGCAGGTATCAGAGCATCTACTTAAAAATTTTACCAAGTATGAAATAACATAGATTCAGTTATTTGATAGTTTGAGTAGTTAGATTTGTTTTATACTACAAATAACAGCTTTTCTCATTGATGATTTCTGTATTATTATTATTATTATTTGAAGTAGCTGTGATGGATGATATAGGCTTCATTTGGTATAACTTTCTTACTGTTTTTTAAAGTGATTATTATTATAAAAAAATTTTGAATTAGAAATTTTTTTATTAGATGGCTGCTTTAAAAAACAATAAGAAAATTATCCCAAACGGAGCCATTATATATGCACTTTTACCCATTGTTTGTTGAAAAATTATCTTGTCCACCAACTAGAATACGCCAGATCATTTTTTGTTTGGTGCTCGATACTGCTGTGTATCGGGTGATGTGATGCATTCGGATTGATCTCTAAACCGTCCGGTATCCGCACAAAATAATTTCTCATGTTTATGGTGTTAGTTATGTAAGGTGAATAAAAACTTGGGGAATTTATATAGAGATTCCATTAAGTTTGATCCTAGAAATCAGGTAAACGTAAACACTTTTTGTTGGTATAGTATTGTGTTGATCTATCTCTAGAAACACATATCTTAAAGCGGGTCCGAGTTTAATAGATTGTCAATTGAAACGAGCATCTTCAAAGCCTCTTAATTGCAGAGATTTTATTTGTTAAGCTAAGGTTTTAGTTTGGGATGATTTTTTTACTGTTTTTTAAAATAATTTTAAATATATATATATATATAGTTTCAAAAAATAGTAAGAAATTTATCATAAATAAAATTTAAATGAAATTAATGATTTCTAATATATTTTCTATTTACCAGCTAAGAATGAAATGGGTGACCTTGAAACATTTGAGATGTCTCAGTTGGGGGAATGATTATTCCGTCAGGTTACCGAATGTATTCGGAAACCAATAATAAAACACCACGTCACTAAAGTACTTGGTACCGTGCTCGGTACAGCGCCCTCGGTATGCTCGGTATTTTCATCGGACGTAATAAAAATTCTAATGGGTGATGGGATGGTATCGAAAAAGAGTTGGATTACATTTTTGTTAAATTAACTTTGATGGTCATTTGATTGCTTAAAATTAGAAAATATATTACATAAAATGTTGAAATTTTTAATTCTATTAATTAGGATCAATTTAACTTTATGTAATGTAACAATAGTTTTTATGTTAATATAATTAAAGGATTAATATGAAGATTAAATAAATGATTTTCATATGATTTTTATTTATTTTAAAGAGCTATATGATTGAGTACCATATGAATTGATTTAGTACTTTTTTTAAATATAAATGTGTCGTGGTGTAGTGAAATTATTAAAGAGATGTTAATAAATCATCGAATGTGGGTTTACATTAATTTATAATATTAAGTTTATATTATTTTATATTGTTGACCTCTTTATTGTATAAGCTTGACATCATTCTTTTGATCCTAGCCTTAATACTTAGATTTCTTTCTCTATTATACAGCCTTACCCATAGGACATTCCTATTTAGATTTCCAAGGTTTTAGCTTTAATTATAACTCAAAGCCTTACGGCATCCTTCCTTGTAGAACTCTTAGTACCCTCAGGCTAAGTTAAACCTACTTTGCTTTAGGTAGTGCCTAGGACCCTTACAAAGACTATCCCATGCCTCCTAAATCTACTTGGAAGCACATTGATCCCTTACTACTTCCATTTGTGAAAGGTTAAATTCAATCCAAGCTTAAAATTAAAATGCACCCTTAAGTGGGCCCATGAGCTTGATTGGATCAATTATGATCCAAACAATCAAAGACCGAACTAAAAGCTTCTTAGAGAACTTACAACACCCCTTAATCATCTTGTATTGTTAGAGGACCTCAATAGATCAATCATAAGTTAAAACCTAAAATAATCAACATTACCAAAGTGCTATCAATCCCAAGATTTACACTAGGAGGCTTGTAGCCCTAAGACTCATCCTAAAAGCCTTGGACCCACTCCATGGGTTAAGGAGACTTTGTCAACTCTTTTGACCAATAACCTTTAATCCAAGTTCATATTTAAATACCCACTCTAGGTCATTTGACTTAGGACTTGAGTTTAAATAGCCCTAACCCATGTTAAGGATGATTTAACTCAAGTTTGACTCATGATCAAACCTCTTTAACCATGGTCAACTTAAGTTTTGACCTAAGCCTTAAATAAATTCTTAAGTTCAACCTAAGAGTTAAATATAAACCAAATAGCTATGGATTTGATTCCAAGTGATCCTCACTCATTTTAGGATCACTAGGGTTCATGGTTAACCCATGTTCAAGTATTTTTTATCATGATAAACTAATGTTTGACCCAAAATCCCAAGAATCTAATCCTTGATTTCAAACATTAAAACCCATCCATTTAGCTTTGGTTTTGGCTCAAAGTGACTCTAATCCATCTTAGAGCCACTTGGGGTCATAACGAACCCATGATCAAACTCATTTGACTATGGGCTGCCAACTTTCTAAAGTATCACTAAGATATCGACCATTGGTCACCTTAGGTTAAACCTAAGTAAACTAAGTCCAAGTATTTTTTATCATGTTAAGCCTAATGTTGAACCAAGCCAAGAAAGTTCAAAGCCTTGAATCAAAATCTAAAATTAAGCTAAGTACATTCCTTCCCTAAACTTGGCTAGTTGTCCACAGGTCCTTTGAATTGATCTACACACCCTTCTCTAGGCTTAAAGGCGGATGATCACAAACCATATGATCAAAAGGCCATAGATTGCTAAGGGGGCAACCTTGGTTTAGTCTTAATAAATCATCCAATTGGTTGGTTGCCTTATAATACTTTAGGATGTTTATCCATCTCACATTGCACCATCCCTAACAACTCTAAACCCCAATTTAACATGGTTGCCTGTTGGTGTGGGGTAGAAATGTTCTAAAACTGGCCTATAATAATTACCTCTCCCAGCCAAAATTGATTGCACAATCAATACTTATTTCATTTTCCAAAGCTTCAGTGACCATCTCATAGCAATCCCGACTTTCACTTTACGCTCCAACTATGAGATCACCCAAGCTTTGGCAACCCTTTAATGTTGTTGGTATACTTGAAGATCCAGCCTTTCTTAGCCCTAGGATTCTTCAACAACAACCATCATTTTGATCAGAAGAAGCCACTAGAACAATAAATTGAAGCTTGCATTCACCAAATCAAGGTATACATAAATTTTCTTTGAACCAAAAGTTAATTGCACACATTGTGAAACCAACCCTCAATTTAGAGAAATCCCATCATTGGATGGTATTCCTTGGTTCTCCTTATCCTTATCCATCCATTGGATCGGGAAGATCACCATTGATACTCCCTAATAAATGAAGTGATAAATGGTATTGGTTTTGAGCTAGATGATGAGACAAAGTCATAATCATCCATTTTATTTGAATAGAATGGAAATGTCTAATGAGCTTGCATCAAATCTCAAGCTTCCTTCCCATATTATCATGGGATTAACCATAACAACCCAATCAAAGATCAAACAATTGAGGTTGATCCCACAAGTCATAGAGGCATCCACAACCTTACAACCATACAATAGAAGGATGTTGTGTGGAAAGTGCATACGTCTTAGCAAATGATTTAATTAAACCAAATGGTTAGTTTAATTAAATCAAATAAATCATTTACAAAAAAATTAATTATAATCCAAATTAAGTGATGAAACTCTCTATGAATTCACAAAGTTGTGTAGAAAATTATAAAAATAAATAAAATAAAGGGTTAGAAATGATCTTATATGATGTTATTTAATCAGTGTATATGGTTATTTAGATGATTATGCACTTTATAATCTTTGATTGACCTTAAATTGATATGAGAAGTTCTCTACTATATCATATAAACCCTTAAAATTTAATTTGGGATCAATCTAAACCCTAATAAGAATTTTCAAAGTAAATAGTCTTGAAATGACCTTAAATTTTAGAAAATTATAGAAAATCTTCTATAACTCCTAATCTCTTGAAATTAAAATCAAATAATCTTTTGATATCAGAGAGAAATTCTCCCAAAACCCTAAGGAGTTTAGTTTATACCTTTTTATATAATTCTTTAAAGTTATAAACTTTAGAACTTAGAAAAATTCTAGAAAATTCATTTAAAGTTCAAATAATATCAGACTTTTAGAAATTGATTTGAGTTTCATAGTAACCATTTGTTTTAATTTCAAGACATCTTAAGGTTATATGCTTAGAATGTTGTAATCTAGGAGCTCGAGTTTATATTTTGATGATAACTAATATTATTGGAATGTATTTGGCTTCTTTTATATTTTATTATTGCATATATTTTCTGTGTTTACTAATATTTCAGGTTCAACATACACCAAAAATCGATAAAGTATCAAAGCTCAAGTTTGGATAGTATTGGTTTGATCTATGCAAGAGTTTGTAATTTTATTTGTTTTTGAGTCAATGTGTTGTAAAATGTGTATTTTCCTGAGTAATCGTGCACATACACACGGGGGGAGTGAAATTAAATATTTTAATTTTTCTAAAAATTGTATTAGATGATCTGTATTGTATTGTACGATATGTATAATAAAAAATTAATTAAAATGTTTAACTAATTGAGAATTAAATTGAAATAAATTACAACTAATCATATTGTACGACCACCTAATCGTACAGGATGACTATGTATTATAAGAAATCCCATCGTTCATTAAATTAGACAAAATTTGAATTTTAAATTTTGTTATATTTGTATTATACAAACATAATCGTGCTGTACGACGTTTAAAATATTATCTAACTTTTTCTTATGATTTATCAATCAAATCTGCTTTATTATAATTTTTTAATCGTAATGTATAAACTAGATCGTTTGGATGATCGACGGAGACAATTTTAGCCTTGAGGCTAACTTAATAGCCTATTTGAGTTTTTTTTTTTCCAACAAGCATATTCAACAAGAGAATGCTTGTTGGGAGCGTTGAAGCAATACAATAACATTTTTTTTTTCTTATGGCTCACTTAATAGCCTATTTGAATTTTTTTTCCCAACAAGCATATTCACTGAGAGAATGCTCGTCAAGAGCAGTTGCAGCGAGAACATAACGAGGATCAAGCCTAGTTTTATGAATATTTTTCAA